TCTCTCTCTCTCTCTCTCTCTCTCTATCTCTCTTTCTCTCTCCCTCTCTCTCTTTCTTTTCTTTGTCACCGCCTGTCACAAAGATATACCCATTACCCGAGTGTAAATTCACAGGTGTGGATTTCCAGTCTTAATACCACATTGCATTCATCTCTTTTTGACCTTCATTAATACAGATCCAGTTTGTCGGCAGATCTATCTCTCCTTTCCAAAATGCCCTTTTTTCTCTTTCCTTATTGCTTTCTATTCTTGTTGAAGACAAGAAAAATTGACGCAGAATTAAAAACCAGCATTAAAAACCAGTTCACATTTCCTATATCGTGAAATTCAAACACTAAACCATAAACATAATAATATACTGGTAGCCATAAACTGCATTCGAATGAATACTTGTTTTTAAAAAAAATTGAAAACATGACAGCAGTATGTCATCATAGTCCATCCATATCATATTTAAGTGAAACCTTATCATTTATTGAAAAACATGTCTCTTTTCCATCACGCAATTTCCTCCCTGTCTGCCGCCATTAACCTACTACTCACCCACACACAACAACGCTCCTCCACAACCATCAGATGACTCCTCGTGTGCACAAATACGTTTTCTGGATAACCCTCCTGCATCACCATCACCGTCAGGGTTTGATTAAATTTCTTTTCTCCGACCAACATTTTTCTTCTGAGTCGGCCACCACCCCATAAACTTTTCTCTTTGGAAACGCCCATGTCACAGACTATGCTATTAGAACTCTCAAATTAGAGATTTTGAAAAAAAGAAAAAAAAAGAAAAAACAATCTCGAATATTCCCTTTGAGTGAAAACGATTTCAAAACTTTTAAATTACAGAGAAAACAAATATTCTCGAGTAATATCCCCTGTGAGTTAAAATGATTGAAATTAGTTTTCTTTTCTTTCTTTTTTTTTTTTTTTTTAAACTTGATTGTTTTCTCCGGCACCTCGGCATGGACTGTGATTGTCTCGGGTGTTGTTTGGTACATTTCTACTATCGGGCGAAAAAAAACGAGCTTATAAAAGTTTTAACGAGCTTTCTCGTCCGTATCATCTTTCCAAGTGTTGTGAGTGAGAGAGTAGCGACGGATATTTCATAGCGCGGGCCGCTCTTACGCCTTCCGTAAAAGAACACTGATACCCTATTATTTTTGTCGGCTGCACATCCTTCTCTTTCCTTTATCCCCCCCCCTCCCCTCCGTCCTACCCCGTTCCAATCTCATTATCTTTTGTCTTTCTGTTTCTCTCACCCTCACTTTCTCCTCTATTCACCAATCAGTTATTCAGTCCATCCATCCATCCATCCATCCATCCATCCATCCATCCATCCATCCATCCATCCATCCATCCATCCATCCA